TACCGAGGTTTGACTTGTTCCAGGGAGCGAAGGGCGATTGACCGGACCTAGAAGAGAACAATACCCGATAGTTTAGGCCTACAGACTATAGTCGAATTGATTCCGACAACTGTATGGAAGTTACGGGAATCATGTCATCATACCGGAATGCGCAACCCTATCTTCGATCGAATCGTGGGAATTGACCGCATTACGTCCACGTCATATTGGTATCCGGATAAAACCTGGTTGAGAGTGACGCACACTTACTGGGGTCGGCACAGTGGCGGTGTATAAGCATATGGATGGTATGCCCTGTAGTTAAGAACGCCATGTCGGACACACCAAACCAGCATCACGATGTCATCTCCATTTAACAAATTTGTGCGTGGTGCTATTTGTAAGCGTTCAATATATGCACACACACACGCGAGCGCGTGTGCGTGCGTGCGTATATGGGCACACTCACTTACAGGCAGAGGAACGCCACAGTTCCAAATCGATGAAATTGACGTACACCACACCAACTACTGTAAACACACAGTAGGCTGACACGCGTTACCGAAGTACGACCGCACAGTGTATGCCCCATGCCACAAGTGCGTCGTGATTTTGGCTGTCGGTCGATGAAGATCTCGCATAAATGCCTCATTGAAATTACGGGGGACGACGCAATCCTCCTCGCTATCCACACAGACCCCATATATCGTGATCATTATTTCAAAAAAAAGTGAAAATTGTTTACTGACACTATAGACAAGAGCAAACTGTCTGTAATCTCAACGGTATAGTTTATGATGAATGAACGTTACAGTTTGTGCAAGCAGTATCAGCAGATTGCATTACAATCGACAATTGCTCAAAGACAATCGATCAAATTAACAGATGTGCTTCACGTGCGTATGATATCCGATGGGTCTCGTAAACAGGAGGCATCTTGGATTATTTTGGAATGAGAAGAAGAACTAGACAGATGGGAAGGAGGGTTTTCCAAATGGGTGCGACATATTTCGCGGTAGCCCGCACCGACGAAAGGGGTTTTCTTTAGGAACCCTGACCGGAGTGTTTGACTCAAAAGTCTAACCCGCAAGGCTGCGGGAATTTTTGGTGCGCTGATTATCGGTCCGCTTTTCGGGATCGGCCCTTAGCCTCATGCACCCAATGAGACAAGCGGAACGTGGACGGGACAGCACCTTATTGGCTGGGGACTGCCCAGCTTGGGCGGGTGGTAGTTGTCCAATGAAGTGCGAAGACTTCTCTCACCGTCAAGAGGAAGCCCCATATACCCCGCTCCTACTTACACCTAGCGGGGGGGGGGTTGACCGGTAAACTGTCTCTCACCATGTTTATTTGCTGGAGTGCCCTCTCTAGGGGTGTGTGTGGATAGAAGGAAGCCAGGAGGTATGGATTTGTGAGACTGAGCTTTGCCTGGTCTCTACTCATTGACCTTTCAGGCATGATTGGATCTGCGGCTGTGAGGAGCCATTCTGTATAGCCCGCAGGGTCATGGAGGCACGCAAACTATCAAACCACGTCAGAAGGGCAGTCCCGTCGTGATGCCATATACACGACGGAAAACGAAGTCTACATAGAACTAAGTATAAACAAAAATAGACTGCTCACCGTTCGGTTATCTGAAGGAATATGATGATGATGGGTATCGGAAGATCGAGAACCAGGTACAGAGGAAGATTCGGATGAAAGATCATCCTCTGAGTCATCCGTCGCTGTGAGAAGAAACAAAAAAGCAACAAAATGGCAATTAATATTCTAACAAAGTACCGACGATCGTGCGAACAACTGAGCAATTTAACTGCGAACCACAATAAATAATAATTGGAGGGGTAAATGTTGACTGGTTGACTGCATGTACTGTGATAACATGCATGCGACAGGGAGGAGGAAAAGACTTGAATGAAGTTGGCACGACGGTGACCTGGAAGTAGAAAGGCTAAGGCGACTCTTTTATGCTAACAGAGATTTCATTTTATTCGAAGTGATCAGATTCGATACAACTCCCAAGACAAATGAAGTCATCAGTTATACCGAATCTTTCATCGCCAAACGGTGTCCGGGTCGCAGAAGGATACCGTTATCCTCAAGTGCCTGTTAAAACTTGAACGGCACAGCCCGAATCAAGTCATCATTACTCACCTGACTTCAGGATAATAAGAAATGGTCGACGTGAATTGAGTTTTAATTGTCGAAATTCCGACCCATCAAGACTTCGAAGTGGATAATTTTATTATATTGCTGGGTTTGACTGTATACTTGACAGTCTAACATATCGATTGACAACTCCAATACCCAGATTGAGGCCGGCCGCTTTATTGGGTCTCCCAATACTCTCCATCTCGAAAGCCCCAGCACCTCCGGGGCCCAAAGAGAATCCACTCTCACCATCAAGGAATGGTCACATGGAATGTGTCTTTCAGACATGGGCTATGAAATTCTGACCCAGTGCCTCCTTATGGCGAAGGTCGGTGAGTCACAGAGTAGATGGTTCATCCAAGGTAGTTGCATATATAAATATATATTTCACATGCGTCTGAAAACAGATTGTGTGTCAAACAAATCATGGTACAATAATCTTTAGAAAAAAAGAAAAGCGTTCAATGATTTTCATGTGACCGCGATACTGCCAGGCTAAGGCAAGTGAACACTTTTGAGCAATCCACTACTGGAGCTTTCGGTTAACCAAAGCCTGATCCAAAAGGCAGAGGGGCGGTGTGAAAACCACAGTCAATTGGGAGCCGATGTCCAGTTCATCGGGCCAAACGCCCTATGGATGGTGTCAAACGTCCAAGGTGACCAATACACCTCGATGCCAAATCGAGCCGCTGATCACTGCAATAACCGAAAAGGTAAGCGTGTGGCTCGTACGTCTCCTCTTGTTTGGTTTGGAATCACGGTTTTTGCCCAACTTCCCTAGGTGACCGATCAGTGGTCCACCAACCCGGTTGGAGCCCCGGATATCGGCTTTTCGTCATCTCACTTTGGTGGGAAAACACCTCCGCCAAGAGAAGGCAGTGAGTATGGATGATTCCTCAGAACAGGCTGTTTGAGACGCTTGGTCATATAAGGAGCATTTGGTGAGGTGCAAGGGAATGGTGATCAGCCTCAAATCTAGACATCCACTGACAACCATACTGAAGGAGCTGGAAACTAGGATCTAAAACCAATCAACGGATGCACTAACTGGATCTAGGTTATTCTGATTGTTAGGCATAGTATACTACATCGGAAAGGTGTATGACCCGACTGACTAGAAATTGGCCCCCAATAGACTGTAATTTTCACACCGCCCTATTATTTATATCACCAATCTTCACAGATACGGCGCCAAAATAACGATGGGTTAACGAAATATGGGAACAAAAGCGGGGGAAACAAAAACAGTCAACTGGGAGAATTGAAAAAATTCGTTTGTTTACTGCATGCCATTTCGAGTTTTTTGGGGATCGCACACAGGAAAGGATGCATTCACACCAATGACTTCGGTTCGATGCCTTATCTCGCAGTGTCTCCAGCCAAAGACTATCTGAATCTTTGGGGCCCCAGCTGGGGAGCCGGGAAGCCTCAACGGAAGCCATAATGGAGCACAATCTCCTTAACCCTGTGCGACACGTCATAACCTGCTGACCTCCAGCCTGGACCGATGTCTGCGAATAGTGCACAGTGAGACAGACGTTGCTCAGGCATTGGTAGAGCGTGCCCTAGCCACCTAAGACGACGCTATGAAATTATTTTGCTCAACGGAAGACCATCCGATCCTAGCACACGTCGTCTGACCTCATCTTTATTCACGCGACGCTCCCACCATACGCGGGCGATGTTGCGCAGACAACGGCTGTCAAATATGGATAGTCGTTCGACGTGATCTGCTCGGAGACACCAGGTTTCGCAGCCGTGGAGCCAAAAGGTGCGTACCGTTGCGCAATACACACGCCCTTCCAGTGAAAGGGATATGTCGATCGAGGGTAAGATAAAACGCTTAGATTTCCTTTATGGGGCGAACGGTTGAAAATCATCGTGGCATGGAATCAAACTAATCTACAGGCAGAAGAAATTATGACTTCCAGTTATTCCTTGGACACTGAAAAACTGGATGAAGCATTTATTCATGCTTCGTCTGACATGCCCCAGCTATATGAACTTGAACTCTACAAAAAAATATCTTCATTTGAATACATGACCTCTGATGAAATGTGTAAACATGTGTTCCTTCAAATTGTTAAACGCATCTGATCCACGCACTGATATCACACTACTAGAACAAGATGCTGAGCACTTGTCATACACTCTTACGATGTAGTACACTATGCCTAACAATCAGAATAACCTAGATCCAGTTAGTGCATCCGTTGATTGGTTTTAGATCCTAGTTTCCAGCTCCTTCAGTATGGTTGTCAGTGGATGTCTAGATTTGAGGCTGATCACCATTCCCTTGCACCTCACCAAATGCTCCTTATATGACCAAGCGTCTCAAACAGCCTGTTCTGAGGAATCATCCATACTCACTGCCTTCTCTTGGCGGAGGTGTTTTCCCACCAAAGTGAGATGACGAAAAGCCGATATCCGGGGCTCCAAACGGGTTGGTGGACCACTGATCGGTCACCTAGGGAAGTTGGGCAAAAACCGTGATTCCAAACCAAACAAGAGGAGATGTACGAAAAAAATTTCGGAGAGAGTTTTCACTGGAACTCCAAACCCTTCCGGAATGCGGGCGCCCGATGAGAATTAAATCCATCCTCAACGGAACAAAACAGGGCCCGATGGCAAAACGTTTGGATGTTTAGAGTGAAGAAAGTACTCTATACTTGGCTCTAGATCAAAAGCTGGTAAAAAATAATCTGAAATGCGTGACGGAATTAATAAACCATTCAGTGAACTGATACAGTTCAAGAAAAAAAGGACTGATCATCTGGTCAGACATTCAGAATCAGTATTGATCGGTTGGATCGAATGACCGAAAGTGAACCAGAATGCAATGTTATCGGAATGTTCAATTTCATTGATCTCACCCTTTAGACTCATTTAGGATCTTAGTGCATCGACGAAGACAATGTAGGGATAAGCGTAAACGGTAAACAATGATACACGGGTCACGGAAATCTTTGACAACGAATCGAATAATTCGTCAGATGCCAGTCAGACTCAGTACAAAGGTTGTCATTTTCCAATATTCAAACTACAGCGTAAATTGATTGTCATAATTATGCCCCCGGGTACTATCTAATCCATCTGTTAGATGAGTATCGCACACACACACACACACACACACACACACACACGGCACACGGTATATGATTGGTCTCGTTATCCCAATGAACCGCATCTATCATGCGATTTCGTGCAATAAATGTGAGATCGCAAAAACTCGACCTTAAACTGACAGACCAGTAGCAAGTCAGGGCTACAGATAGATCATTCAGGTTACCAAATGTCAAGTGAGGTGAACTGAAAACTTGCCGCCAAATCAAGCGTTCCCAGTTCGGCATAGAATACGTATTAGATATTGACTTCTTTGATGGGAGATAGTTTCGAATTCACAACCGGGTTCCCCATCTATGTCCCTTGTCTATTGGTAGTGGAAAGTAGGTTTTCGAGACCGTGGAGTTTAGCTCTTTGATACTATTCACCAACACGGCATGGAACGAAAGCAAGACCCGAATGAAAATATCTGCGAGAAGTCAGCCGGTGACATCACGCTGTGAGAGACAGTGAAAAATGAGAATTATTTAGGAGGGGAAATGGCGCGCCCAACCCACGGTCAGGGTGTAGTGGATAGGAATGCTAATTGCCAGAACAGGCTTTCATTCACACATGTCTGAATCCAGACTATGTGACAAACAAATCATGGTACAATAATTTTCATAGAAAAGAAAAATGTTCCATGATTTGCATATGGGCTGAATACTTCCCGAGTGCCCAGGCCAAGGAAGGTAAATTTTCTCGACGAAGTCATAACCGGAGCCTTTGGTTAGTCAAAGCCTGATCCAAAAGGCAGAGGGGCGGTGTGAAAACCACAGTCAATTGGGAGCCGATGT